CATATAATATGTTTGCTTTATACTGAAGTTAAATGGAAGCTTAATTTTATATTCTTTAATTTGGAAAGGATCACGTGAAAAAGGTCTGTGAGTCAGCCGTCCTGCGTGTTCCTCCAAATGCTCATTCCCAAACAGCGTAGTAATTAAGTATCCTAGCAAGAAATTGAGATAAAAGCTGGTTCTTTAAAGACAATGCTTATTAGCTCAAACTTTTATTGAAGCAAATCCTGGTGGAAACTCTGGTGTTGTTGTATATTATGACGGTAATGATGCAGCAGAGCGCATCAATTCTAAGTTTCATCCTAATTTGGACCTTGTTGTTGCAGTTGAGCTCGAATATTTTGATGAGCAAGTTTTCTTTGTCTCTCTCAGTTAACTTTTTAGTTTTTTACTTCTGATAGAGGCACACTTCTGCTTCAGAAAATATTTTTTTTTTGTAACTCTCAGTTTTTCAAATTTAGGGCTTCTGTTAAATTCCTAAAAGAGGAACGGGTAAAAGGAGTGATGTTACTGGCAAGGAATTCGTCCCTGACGTCGGATCTGCCTCTATCGGAAGACAGCGCGTGTCCGAACGAGGAGTATAGTAATGATGATCTACAATAAAAATATTTTTCTTCAGTCCTAAACTTTCGAAGCTTTTCAGTTGTGAATGAACGAAAGTATTGGTGGAGAGTTGGAGTTTTTTGGAAATAGATTTTTCAATTTTTGAGTTTTTACAGAACCCTTACAGGTATTTACGGAGATTCTTGTCGTAACAAGTGGAATGTTAACGGAGCAGTTATACCAGAAGGACTTCGGTTCACGAAATTTATGAAGCCTATTTTTTTGATAAGGAACTTGACTATAATACGGATCGTGATGGAAAATGTAAGCTTTTGAATGTGTCAGTATTGGGTTTTTTTTTTTTTTGCGATGTCGATTTAGTGACCTGGAACTCAAAAGTCGTTTATTAAATTTTTTTCTTATCCTGTGTTTGACGTGTAGATCTGGATATGGTAAAAGAACAGTGTCTTTTTGATTAACAATATGTAGGGAGATTTTGCTGTCTTTTATTGCTGCACTTTAGTGTTACAAAGCTTTTAATATCAATGGTAGTCTTTCTGGGTCGTCTTTGTGCTCAGCAAACTTGAAAGCTCATATGGCAGCTGCTGGAGACGCAGAAATATGCATGCGTCGAAGCGTTCCATCTTTCTTCAGAGGAAGCACGTTAGTATTTTCTTCTAATTCTTTTCAAAGTCACTACATTTGTGCGTGCTACAGGTTTGTCCTGATAATTTTTTTTCTAAATTGTGACACTCATTGCTTTTCGAGATTTTAGGAGTGGTTTTTGTGCTGTGCTAGAAGATAGTAACCTTATTGCTATCGTCCCACCACCGAGAAAAAAGCTGGATAGTCAGAAGTTTCTTATAGTTGCGACTCGTGTTCGTTTTTTCTAATTTTTATCTTCGGTACTTATTGATTTCTTTTTTTCAGAATTGAAATAAACTAACTTATAAAACATTGTCATGTATCATGACTTATTTTAGATGGATTCGTTTAGCAGTTTTGCTGGAACAGTTTTGGGCGAGGTGTCTGTCCTGAGTTCTTTAATGACAGTAATTGCCGCAGCAGAAGCAATAGGAAGGAATCTTAAAACTCTGCAGGAAGCTGCTACTCGTAAACATCGTTCAGTTGCTTTTGCTTTTTTCCATGGGGTGACTAAATTTAATTTTTTTCAAGATATGGCGTTTATTGTGAAAAGTGATGTTTGCTTTTACAGAGCCGACTATCACAATTCTTCTTTTCCAGAACGTCCTTCTTTTCCTTCATAATTAAGTCTCTTTTAGGAGTCGCTTGGCTTTATTGGAAGTACTCGCACAGTTTTTGATATGCTGAAAGGAGAATTCCCTGTTAAGCTGAAAGGCGAGAAATCCGACATCTCTTTGATCAAGATAGATGATATTGACTCATTTTTAGAGGTGCTAGCATTTTTTAGCTTGTTATATCGTATAGCAGTTTTGTTTACTGCTTCTTCATAATTATTTCCCCCTTTAAGGGTGCTTTTGGCTTTTTAAAGCAAAATTAATTTTATTAACATACAGAAAACTTTGTGGCCACAAAAATGATGGTCTTTGAGATAACTTCAGAGTACTACGGACTTCAAAATCGTGGCTTCCGATTGTGGTATTTTTTAATATTCTTTTTTTCTCAACGGAAAGAGTTTCTTGAATTTTGTAATTTTTTGGAAACAGTATTTAAGGTCCAAGCCATCTTTGGAGAATCCGATCTTTTTGCGCATATTGATGGGAAGTCGTATTTTAACCAAACAAAGGACACTGTACGAGAAGTTTCGCTGTTCATTTTTCTAAGTTTATTTAAAATTATACGACTCATGCTATTTCGTTACTGTTTAGGTGGACAAATTAATTAGAGGCGCCAACAAGAAATTGTTTAGCGACAAATATTCCGTTAAAGTTCGCAACGCAAATGGCTCTGCACTTGATAGTCATTTGCCACCGTCATCTTTCGAGACGTTCTTAAAGAAAAAACGAAATATTGCTGGCTTTGTTCTTGCTCCATTTGCTTCCATCTATGATTACAAGTCTGTTTTACTGCTTTTTCTGTTTTAAGGATGTGTAGTTTTTTGTTGCCCTAAAGAATCTGCACCTAGGTCTTAATTTCAGGAGAATGAATTCATTTGCTGATAGAATTAATCCTAGTCACTACAAGGATGTTACTAGGCAAATTTGCGCTTCAGCAACTGCCGTTTTGGGGGCTATTTTGGACCATATTTATGCAGATGAAAAAGTTCTTGCGGATATTCATATTGATAGCAATTTTGTATGTGCTCTTAGCTTGGGCTTTTCTTCAATATTGCAGTGAGCATTTATCGTGAAGTTTTTTCTGAATGTTACGTATCGTTTAGGTTGATGATTTATTCGACTGCTTTATTTCTGCGGAGGATTGGCAAACTTGTTCTCTGTTCAAGCTGATTCTTCAGGAAAATCGGAATTTCAGTGCATTAACAACAACTGGTATTTGTATAGTTTCAAAAAAATATATTCATGTGTTTTTTAACTGCATTTCTTTTGTTTTAGACATGCTATACTAAATTGTGCAAAATCTTCTCGTAGTTTTTTTTTTGCATTAACTGCAGTTAAGATTCAAAAATAACGAGTTGAAGTAGGAAATGGAATATATTTTTTTCTCTTTGAGAGTGTTGTACTTACTTAGATTACTTTTTCATTGCAGCCGAAGCTCTTTTTTTTTTAAAGATTAAGTGTAGGTAATAATGAGGTTCAACATAAATTAGAATTCAGGGGACTTTAAATTAGCCATTTTCATTGCTGTAGAGGTGCTTTACTTTTTGTTTATCTTTAGAAAAGAAGATGAAAGAGACGTCTATTGGGGTTGAAAAGCAAGATTCACTAATACGTTTACTAGCTCAGGCTCTTCTCGTATATACGCTTGGAGAGAAAGATTTGGTAAATGTTGTTGATCGTAGACAATGTGAAGATCTCAATAAAAATACTCAGGTGGGTTTATTTTTTATATAGCATACAGTACTGTAGAGCTTTGCCCTGTTTGGCACACTATATGTTTTCCACAGACATGTTTTCTTCATTGTTTCATATTTTATGCCACAGTTTGGAAGCATCTAGTCAGGTTCGCATGTAAGTCTTTCATTTTATAGCTATTTTTACACACTTGGCAAACAGATCCAGCAACAAATACGTCAATTTGTTATCGAAATTCAATGTATATTACTGCAGCACGTTCTCCGGCATTTGATATTGAGGGTTGGTTTAACTGATTAAAACCGTGGATGAAAGGAAGAGCATTTTTGTTTTTGTTTGCTTTTCTAGTTTTGTAGTCTTGCTCAAAATCAGACTTGAGAATTTACTGAGGCCAAGTGATTCTAAAAGTCGGCTCGTAGCTTCAGTTTCTTTCATTAATTAAATGGCAAAACAAGAATTTATTTTTAGAAATGGACTGAACTACTTTAATTGTCAGAATTGAAGTTTTGGTTCTTGTTTATTTGCATATTTGCATTTACTAAAAGCCCTTTGTTTTTTTCTCATACTGTTTTAGTTTCAGAATATGACTTTAAATCGAGGCTGTATCCTACGTGGGTTGAAAGTCAGTGGGATTATCCAGAATTGACCCTGTTTTTAATCCCACCTAATCACAATAAATTTGATTACACGGTGCTCGGTGCAGGTTGCTTATTGCTCATTTTTTCATGCCTTTTCGTCGAAGTAGTTTACTCTTCCAACAAGCAGTTCTTTGACCCACCTACACCGTCATCGGAAACAGATCAAACAGCGGCTCCACTTTAATTTTGTTGCAAAGTGGGTTAATTCAAAATTTCAACAATGTTAGCATTGTTCTGTATGTAGTTGAGTGATCTGATTAAAATAATATAGAGAAGGATCTCTAAAAGCAGCTTCATTAGTTAGGTTCCCCAAGTCGACTCTTTGAACAATCCCTTTAGATTACGAAATTTGCGAAGAAAGGCAATTTCGAAACAGTTTGGTTTGGTATGAGGAGCCTGAGTTGGATTGGTCCATAATAACTTCTTAGAAATGAGCTTCTTTTTTGTGGTAACTTTTGTGTGTTACCAAGTGATTACTTGTTATTCTTCACTCCAGTTGCTAACTGGGGAGCAGTTTTATACTTGTTGTTCTTTTCTTTGTTATTGTTGGAATTTTCTCGCAGCATTTTGAAAGGTTCACCCCAACTTCATTGTTCTAAACTTCTAATCCATGTTTTCTTTTTTTTTTCGGAGTGTCTCGAACTCAGTATTTCACTTTTCAATTTGAATATCTTGCCAAATTCGGGAGTTTAGTGCCGGCATTTTTAAAACTTTCTGTAAATTGTTGTTTTTCTCTGCGCTTCGTTTAACCTCTTATTTAATTTGGTGAGTTTTTTTTGCAGCCAGGGTATATAACAGATTTGTATATATTATATATATATATATATATATATATATATA